CGGGCGGGGGTAGTGGTGGGGTCGGGTCGCCTGGTGCTGGAGCGGACGAGGGGACCCTGCCCAGTCCAGCTGAGTCGCCGCCCCTGCAGTTGCAGCAGCCGCAGCAGCCGCCGCAGTCGCAGCCTTCGCAGCAGCCGCAGCAGCCGTCGCAGACGCGGCAGACGAGTGTTCTCCCCGCCAGGGTGGCCCGGCGCTGGCGGTGGACGGGCGCGTGGTGGTGTGCCGCGAGGTGGCTCTTCCGGCGGGCGTTGTCAGTACCAGATCCAGACCGGTCCTCGCCGCGGTTTCGTTTGCGGTAAGATCGGTCACTCCACTCCCCGCTGCTTTCGTTGCTTGGACGACCTCTTTCGTCAGCGTTTCGGCCCGTCGCCAGACCTCCCGGACTGGCACAGTTTGCTTAGTCGTCAGATTCAGATCTTTGATATGGACATGGATGCCATTGTTTCTGCTCTGCATGTGATGTATGCTGATGACTCTAGTGTGCTTCCGACTTATTACTCACTGTTGCCTAGTGTAGGTGTGCCTAGCTTAGCCCCCCCTGCTGCGTCAGGCGTAGGATCCCCTGCTTTGTGTAGTCTTGGTGCTTCTGCCGTCGTTCCGTCGCCAGACCCCTCGGCTTCGCTTTCCTTCACCTTGGACTCTGGCGCCTCTCGGTGTTTCTTCCGCGAATCCACCACCCTGACGTCGCAGACTCGGGCTCTCTTACAGGTCTGCATATCCCCTCGTTCTCCAGGAACCTAGTTGGTGTCGGCTGCCTCCAGGACCTTGGCGTCACCACTACGTTCCCTGGTCACGAGCGGTATGCTGTCTGTACCGAGGCCGCCACTGGTGCCCCCCTGTCCACGTTCCCCCGGGACCCGGTGTCCGGCCTGTTCACTCTGGACACCGTGCCCCCCCCGGCTGGAGCGCCCCCTCAGGTGGCTGTGTCTACCCAGGTTGCTGCTGCCTGCTCCTGTCGCTCCCTCACTCACCCGACCCTCCTGTGGCACCACCGCCTAGGTCACCCTGCGCTCCCGCGTCTGCGTCACATGTCCCAGCACGGTCTTGTCCTTGGTCTCCCAGGTTCACTCCCCGCGTTTCCCTCCTCCCCAGCTCCACCTTGCACGCCTTGTGTCGAGGGTCGGCTTCGCCGTGCCCCTCACTCCTCCTCGTTCCCCCCTACCGTCGCGCCGCTGCAGACCCTGCACCTGGACGTCTGGGGCCCCGCCCCTGTCCCTGGGCCGCGTCGCGAGCGCTACTTCCTTGTGCTTGTCGACGACTTCACTCGTTACACCACAGTCTTTCCCCTGGAGCGCAAGGCCGACGTGCCTGGCGCCCTCATCCCCTGGCTTGTCTCTGCGCGTGTCCACCGCGGTCTCCCTGTCTTGCGTCTTCACTCAGACCGTGGTGGCGAATTTGCCTCAGGTGTCCTTGGTCGCTTTTGTCGTGCGGAGGGCATCACCCAGACGTTCACCCTACCGGACTCCCCACAGCAGAATGGGGTCGCTGAGCGACGCATCGGCTTGGTCATGGAGGTCGCTCGCAGCTCCATGGTCCATGCCGGTGCACCCCATTTTCTGTGGCCGTTCGCTGTGCGCTACGCTTCTCACCAGCTTAACCTGTGGCCGCACCCTCAGCAGCCGCAGGTTTCGCCGACCCGTCTGTGGACTGGGTCTCCTGGTGACGCGTCTGCGTTCCACGTCTGGGGCTGCCTTGCTCACGTCCGTGCCTCCGGCACGGACAAGCTCACTGCCCGCACCCTTCCCTGCGTCTTCCGCGGTTTTCCCCTTGACGCGTCCGACTGGCACTTTTACCACCCGCCGTCTCACCGCTTCTTTCACTCTCGTGACGTCACCTTTGACGAGTCCGTCTCCTACTACCGCCGCTTCCCCCACCGTGGTCCCCCGGTTACTCCCTCCCTGTTCCTGGTCACCCCTTCCCCGGTAGTCCCTGCCCCTCCTCCTCCTCCTCCCCGTCCCGCCCCCTCTGGTATCTCCCATGTCACCCCCCTTCCGTCCGTGGACCCGGTTGAGGAGTCTTCTGACTCTGGTGGCCCTCCGGTGCAGTCCTCGCCGGCCGCCCCTCCCCAGGTGCCCCCTCCCCAGTCCCCTCCTCCGCCGTCCCTGCCGCCACTGCAGCCGTCGCCGTCGCCGCCGCTGCCGCAGTCGCAGCCCCCGTTCGCTGACTCTGGGGGTGTTCGTCCCGGTCGCCCTGAGGGTGGTCCCTCTGGGGGTGCGGGTGTGGAGCGTGCCGGTGGTAGCCGAGGAGCAGCTTGCGGTCCCGGTGTCGCCGTTGTGCCGCCGCAGCAGCAGTCCCCGCCGGTGTCCGCCCTTCGCCTGCTCGGCCTTCCGTCCCCCGACCCTGCGTCGGTTCCTCCCCGACCGGCTCCTCCTCTTCCTGTCTACGGCCCTGTTTTCCCTCCGCCGGACTCGTCCCCGGCCCGTCTCCCCCCTCGTTCACCTCCTGTGTCCCCTCCCCTGTCTCCTGACCCGACTCCTCCATCGCACGTCTGGTCTCACCGTCCCTCCCGTGCTCGTCCTGCCTCGCCTGTCCTGCGCTCCCACCCTATGTTGCTTCGTTCACACGCGTCTCGTCCTCCCCTTCTGCCGTCGCCTCCTCCGTCCTCCCTTGTTGTTGCGCCCCCCCCGCTGTCCGACTACCTTCGTGCCGCTCGTCCCCTCGTTCCTCGGGTCCTTGCCTCTCTCGTTACCGGCCCGTCTGTTCCAGTCTCGTGCCTTGACGCTCTTGTCGCTGCTGTCGCTGACTTCGCCTCTACCCGCCGCCTTGACTACGCCACCGCTCTGGTCTCTGACCCTGCCTGTCCTCCGTCTGTCGGGGGTGCTCCTGCCCTTGGCAGTGACGTCCTGGAGGACCGCCAGTTCGAGCTTGCTTTCCTGTCTGAGGCTGCTCCCCATCTCTGTTCCATGCTGCTAATCCCTGAGGGTGACCCAGACGCTTTCGACATCCCGACCCCTCGCACTTACGCTGAGGCGACTTCGGGACCCTGGGCCTCGCAGTGGATAGCTGCCATGGAGCAGGAGATGGCATCTTGGAGATCCACCGGCACCTTCGTCGACGCAGTTCCCCCACCTGGGGTGAACGTAGTCGATGGCCGCTGGCTCTTCAAGGTGAAGCGCCCTCTTGGAGAGCCGCCTGTCTTCAAGGCGCGCTATGTGGCTAGAGGCTTCAGTCAGCGCGAGGGGGTGGACTTCTTCCAGACTTTCGCTCCGACCCCGAAGATGACTACTCTTCGGGTTCTGTTACACCTAGCTGCTCAGCGTGACTACGAGCTTCACTCTCTCGACTTCTCCACTGCCTTCCTTCAGGGCAGCCTACACGAGCAGGTCTACCTGCGCCGCCCTCCGGGCTTTACTGGCACCTTCCCTCCTGGGACCCAGTGGCTCCTGCGGCGCCCCGTCTACGGCCTGCGCCAGGCTCCCCGTGAGTGGCACGACACTCTGCGTGCTACGCTTGCTGACCTGCAGTTCTTTCCGTCTTCTGCAGACCCTTCACTCTTCGTTCGTGCTGGCCAGACTCCGTTCTACATCCTCGTCTACGTCGACGACCTGGTCTTTGCCACAGCAGACAGGGACGCGCTGGCCTCTGTGAAGGCAGAGCTGCTGAAGAGACACACCTGCACTGACCTTGGAGAACTGCGCCGTTACCTTGGCTTGCAGATCTCCAGGGACAGAGCTGCGCGCACCATCACCCTGACTCAGTCACACTTGGTGCGCCAGGTCCTTCAGAGGTTCAGCCTTCAGTTCTCCTCTGCACAGCCCACCCCTCTGCCTGTAGACCACAGGCTCTCCGCTCCAGTGTCTGAGGAGTTGGTAGAGCCCAGCGGCCCCTACGCAGAGCTGGTGGGTTGCCTCATGTACCTGATGACTTGCACTCGCCCAGATCTCGCATACCCTCTCAGCATCCTGGCTCGCTTTGTGGCCACAGGCAGACACCGACCGCAGCACTGGTCTGCCGCTAAGAGGGTTCTGCGTTATCTTGCTAGTACATCGGGCATCGGGTTAGTGCTAGGAGGACGCAGGCCAGCGGTCCTTACTGGGCACACAGACGCTTCGTGGGCAGACGACGCTGAGACACTCCGGTCTACCCAGGGCTACTGCTTCAGCCTTGGCTCAGGTGCCGTCTCGTGGAGAGCTACTCGCTCCTCGTCTGTTGCACAGTCCAGCTGTGAGGCTGAGATCTACGCCGGTGCCATGGCGGCACAGGAGCTCCGCTGGCTGACCTTCTTGCTCACTGACTTAGGTGAGCGACCTAGCTCTGCCCCGGTCCTGTTCGCTGACAACAGGGCCATGATCCTCCTGTGTCAGGAGCCTCGACTCGAGGGCAGAGCGAAGCACATTCAGCTGCGGTACTTCCTCCTGCGTGAGCTACAGCAGCGACGTCAGGCTCGCGTAGTACACTTGGCCTCAGGTGCCAACACGGCTGATATCTTTACGAAGGCGCTTGCGCCTAAAGATCATCAGCGGCACTGTGTACAGCTTGGTCTAGTTCCTGTAGCCTCTCACTTGCTAGGACCTTGACTTTGTACTGTCCTTTATATGTATACTCAGACTGGACTTGAGTCCTCTCCCAGTGGCTGGACTAGTAGTGCCGCCCTGCTCTTTGCTTGCCTTGTCTGTACTCCTTCTGACTGGTCGCTCAGACCCTTGTCTCAGAGGTTGGACTAGTAGTGCCGCCCTGAGCTGTTTGTTTATGACTTTCCCCTATGCAGTCTAGGGGGTGTGTCAAACATGTCTATTTGTTATGTCTGTATAGACTGTATAGGGTAGCCTCTTAGAGGGTACAACACTTAGCTATATTGTGTGTACTCTCCCTCTATCACTATTATTCAATTTTCTGATACAACTCTCTTTTCTCTCTACATTTGTTTTTCTCGACTTCCTAAACCCTCCTACTTTCATGGCTTCCTAGCGTACTTAGTTTAACATGTACGACGAGCAAGATCGTAGAAACACTTGCGGGTGAACAGTGGTTTCCCCCCGAAATGGAAACAGTTCATGCAC